CAAGTCCATTTAAAAAAGACGAAAGCGTTGTCGTATAACACAACTCTCCACGGTTAATAAATGAACAGCTAAATGGTCATCAAAGAATGGTCAGTAACAAGTAACGATGATGGCGTTTGTAATATTGTACAAGTACGCGATCCGTGAGCATAAACGAACCCCGCGCACCGCCTTTTCGCAAAATCCATCGGAACGGCTCCCGCGGCGTGCAAGTGGACGCGCGCGGATCGCGTACAGGTGTGGCAACAGCGTTACTAATCAACGTAATTAACGAACAACACAGAAACCAAAACTTGAAAGAAAAGGAAAGTAACAAACAAACGAAACAACGCAACGACAATCGAACGGAACAGAGAAACAAGTGGAGAAACGGAAGGGGGGGGGGGGGGGGGGGGCGAGAAAAAAGGAAACAAAAAGAAAAGAGAACGCAAAAAACGAACGAACGAAAAATTAAAACACTTGAGAGATAGAGAGAGAGAGAGAGAGAGAGAGAGAGAGAGAGAGAGACTGAGGTATGAAAAGGAGGAGAAAACACCGATCAGGGCTGAAGTAGTTCCTCCCAGACGTTCGAGACGCGAGAGGGAAGACGGTCACGCAAGAAACGGAACGAAAGAGAGAGGGAAACAAAAACAACAAACAAGGAACAAAACGAAACGGAACAAAAAGTGGTATACACAAACGACGGTAGCAAAACGGGCGCGGAACGAAAAAGGAAACACAGAGAACCGAAAAGAACGGCAACGGAAACACGAAAGGAAAACACAAGATAACGGAGAGAGAGATAGAGAAAGATAGAGACAGAGAGAGAAAGGCAGAGATATAGATAGAGACAGAGAGTGAGAAAGATAGAGAGCGAGAGACAGAGAACGTAAAAAGAAACGCCAGCTGCCAAGTCAAATAATCATCAAGCGGCGAAAAAGCCAGGCTCTAAGCAACGAGAAGCAAGCCACCTCTTCCTCTCGCTATCGTTTCGTACATTCATATCTTTTTTTTTTTTCTGCTGTACCGTTTTTTCTCTCAACCGTTTTGCTTTACGCGTTTCTCTTTTTTTCTTTTTTTTTTTTTTTTCTTTTTTTTTTTTTTTTAGCATAATT